ATTTCCTTTAATAGGGCATGAGTGGGAATATTTCCGTTAATAGGGCAGGAGTGGGAATATTTCCTTTAATAGGGCAGGAGTGGGAATATTTCCTTTAATAGGGCAGGAGTGGGAATATTTCCTTTAATAGGGCAGGAGTGGGAATATTTCCTTTAATAGGGCAGGAGTGGGAATATTTCCATTAATAGGGCAGGAGTGGGAATATTTCCTTTAATAGGGCAGGAGTGGGAATATTTCCTTTAATAGGGCATGAGTGGGAATATTTCCTTTAATAGGGCAGGAGTGGGAATATTTCCTTTAATAGGGCAGGAGTGGGAATATTTCCGTTAATAGGGCAGGAGTGGGAATATTTCCTTTAATAGGGCAGGAGTGGGAATATTTCCTTTAATAGGGCAGGAGTGGGAATATTTCCTTTAATAGGGCAGGAGTGGGAATATTTCCTTTAACAGGGCAGGAGGGGGAATATTTCCTTTAATAGGGCAGGAGTGGGAATATTAATGTAGTCCTTCTCTTTAGTTTCTAAGTCACCCTCTAAGGTTTTTGCTTTTCAAGTTTTTTCTGCCTCTTAGTGGCTGAGTATGACAATCAGACCCCTGGAGTATGCTTTACAGGTTTCCCAAAGGAGCGAGGGGTTATCTGTTGATTGGGAGTTAATAGAGAAAAATGCTTTAAACTCTGTAATAAAATATGATGTAAATCTATGGTCTTTAAGAATGGTTGTATTCAATCTCCAGTGTCTTGATGGATTGGGTGGCCCTTTGAGGTTTATGTCCAGGATCACCTCAGCATGCTTCCTATATTAGAAGATTCAACAAAGACGTCCTGGGCATAAAAAAGTAATCTATTAGTCTGACATCCATGAGGTGCAGAGAAAAAGGTGAACTCTCTGTTGGAGGGATGAAAGGTTCTCCAAACATCAGCATACCCCAGATCATCACAAATAGCTATAAGCGACCTAGCTTGAGGAGAGGGTGAAGCTATGCTGCTGGGAAACTTGTCAATAAGGGGGTTCAACAAACAATTAGAATCTCCAACCACTGCAGTGTCTGAGTTTAATTCGGAGAAGTCTAGAAATACCTTAGTGAGGAAATCAGGGGGGATGTAAATATTCATTATGTAAATGTTCTGCCCTTATGAAGTACCTTTAATTATAACAAAACTACCAAATGTATCTTTCACACAATTCAACACCTTGAGTGGTAGGTTATTTTTCACAGGAATTGCCACACCTCTACTTCTGGATGTAAATGATGAGAAACTCTTGACCAAACCCTCCTTGTTGCAATTTCAGATGCTCCTTATCATCCAAATGAGTTCCTTGTAAAAGAGCAACATCAGTATTTTCTTTTTTCAAAAAAAGATAGTACCTTTTTCCTTTTAATGGGGTTATGGCTCCCTCTAATGTTCCATGGGACTAGACCCTAACAGGAGAAAGGTGAGACACTCCTTCACTGGAGGAGATCTTGGTGGGCTATACTCAGCCTTGTCTCAGGGTAGTAGGTTGGTGGGCTATACTCAGCCTTGTCTCAGGGTAGTAGGTTGGTGGGCTATACTCAGCCTTGTCCCAGGGTAGTAGGTTGGTGGGCTATACTCAGCCTTGTCTCAGGGTAGTAGGTTGGTGGGCTATACTCAGCCTTGTCTCAGGGTAGTAGGTTGGTGGGCTATACTCAGCCTTGTCTCAGGGTAGTAGGTTGGTGGGCTATACTCAGCCTTGTCTCAGGGTAGTAGGTTGGTGGGCTATACTCGTCCTTGTCTCAGGGTAGTAGGTTGGTGGACTATACTCAGCCTTGTCTCAGGGTAGTAGGTTGGTGGGCTATACTCAGCCTTGTCTCAGGGTAGTAGGTTGGTGGGCTATACTCAGCCTTGTCCCAGGGTAGTAGGTTGGTGGGCTATACTCAGCCTTGTCCCAGGGTAGTAGGTTGGTGGGCTATACTCAGCCTTGTCTCAGGGTAGTAGGTTGGTGGGCTATACTCAGCCTTGTCTCAGGGTAGTAGGTTGGTGGGCTATACTCAGCCTTGTCTCAGGGTAGTAGGTTGGTGGGCTATACTCAGCCTTGTCTCAGGGTAGTAGGTTGGTGGGCTATACTCGGCCTTGTCTCAGGGTAGTAGGTTGGTGGACTATACTCAGCCTTGTCTCAGGATAGTAGGTTGGTGGTCTGTTGATATCCCTCTGGTGATGTGGGGGCTGTGTTTGGCAAAGTGGGTGGGGTTATATCCTGCCTGGTTGGCCCTGTCTGGGGGTATCGTCGGACGGGGCCACAGTGTCTCCCGACTCCCCCCTGTCTTAGCCTCCAGTATCTATGCAGCAATAGTATATGGTTCCTCTCTAGGTTTCTTCCTAGGTTCCTGCCTTTCTAGGGAGTTTTTCCTAGCCACCGTGCTTCTACATCTGCATTGTTTGGGGTTTTAGGCTGGATTTCTGTATAGCACTTTGTGACATCTGCTGATGTAAAAAGGGCTTTATAAATAAAATGTCATTGATTGAACTATCACTAACCCAGCAGAGGTGAGACACATTAACTATCACAAACCCAGAAGAGGTGAGACACATTGGTAATGGTTTTAAATAGACAGCAGGGGGCAGTATAACACTTCTCGCTCTCGTTCTCTCGCTCGCTCTCCCTCCTCTCCATTTCTGTCTCGCTCTCCTCTGTCTCTCTCCTCTCTCTCTTTCCCTCCCACTCTGTCTCTCTCTCTCCTCCTCTCTCTTTCCCTCTCTCTCCTCCTCTCTCTCTCTCCTCCTCTCTCTCTTCCTCCTCTCTCTCTCTCTCTCTTCTCCTCCTCTCTCTCCTCTCTCTCTCTCTCTCCTCTCTCTCGCCTCCTCTTCCCTCCCTCTCTCTCTCTATCTCTCTCTCTCTCTCATCTCCCTCTATGTCCTCTCTCCTCTCTTCCTCTCTCTCCTCCTCTCTCTCTTTTCCTCCCTCTCTGTCTCTCTCTCCGTTGTCAGGACTCTCTCTCTGATGTGTATCTGGAGAACCTGCTGGGTTGTTCTCGGTCTGGTTTCCAGGGGCTGCCCAAGTGGCGGCAGAATGACCTGAAGAAGAAGGCGGGGCTGTTCTGAGTGGGCAGTCAATCAGTTGGAATGACAAGGGCACATATTGTATTAGAGTTGAATGGCTATATTTTCATTGATTGTGTTTGAGTTGTGTTTGAGTTGTGTTTGAGTTGTGTTTGAGTTGCCATACTTTCCAAATACAGTTCTAGCTTGAGGAGCTGTACATACATGATGAGCTCTACAAATAAATAATATTATACAAATTAATATTAATATTATTATTATTATAATTATTATTATTATACTTCAGCTGATGAAGTCACTGCCAGGGAACCTGCCAGATACTGGCATGTACGTTACCAACAGCAATACCACTTTCATTTTCAGTCTCTTTAACAAAGTCTCTTTAACATTATTTATTGAACAAAACTATGCCCTTCACTGATATGTTCTACCCGTATGCTGAACAGAATAAAAAGCAGGGGTGTGTTTTTTTTGACATTCAAAATGAATTAAATCAAGATAAATTTTAAATGTTTTAATCATGATGATAAGTTGCTGTATTGTGTTTTGTTGTATTTACTGCAACTCCGTCTACGATCATAATGAACAAACCCTTTCAAAACAACATGGCTAATTATCATAAAGATGTAACAAAATCTCTCAAAATAAAAACAATTCACCATCAAAACTTTTCTAAATTCTTATTTTATTCAAGAACATGTGCAAATGCAGTTTACTGAAAAACAACAGTAAGATATTATGACCACAGCTCCTTGATGTCTTTATACTCGGACATTTCTCCTGTTATATTGTTACACAGCTGATATCAAGAGAGGAGTGTTAGAGGAACCAAAGTAGATAATAGATGGCTTGATGTGTATTTCATATGAACAGTCATAACAACAGTCAGTAACAACAGTCATAACAGTCATAACAACAGTCAGTAACAACAGTCAGTAACAACAGTCATAACAACAGTCAGTAACAACAGTCATAACAGTCAGTAACAACAGTCATAACAACAGTCATTACAACAATTGGTAACAACAGTCAGTAACAACAGTCATAACAACAGTCGGTAACAACAGTCGGTAACAACAGTCATAACAGTCAGTAACAGCAGTCATAACAACAGTCAGTAACAACAGTCATAACAACAGTCTTAACAACAGTCGGTAACAACAGTCGGTAACAACAGTCATAACAACAGTCATAACAACAGTCAGTAACAACAGTCATAACAACAGTCGGTAACAACAGTCATAACAACAGTCATAACAAGTCATAACAACAGTCATAACAACAGTCAGTAACAACAGTCGGTAACAACAGTCGGTAACAACAGTCATAACAGTCAGTAACAGCAGTCATAACAACAGTCGGTAACAACAGTCATAACAACAGTCATAACAACAGTCGGTAACAACAGTCGGCAACAACAGTCATAACAACAGTCTGTAACAACAGTCATAACAACAGTCGGTAACAACAGTCATAACAACAGTCATAACAACAGTCATACTTCGAACTTCAGAGATCCGAATTGAATAGAGCCCTTAGTCAGCTTCTCTTAAAAGAAGTGTAAAGATAAAAGAGATTGTAAAACATTAAAAATCAACATATTAAAAACTTTGTCAGTTACAACTCAATAATGGGGGAGGGGTCAGTATGGATTGGACTTTTTAGTATGGTGTGGGAGGTGTTAGTATGATATGGGAGGGGTCAGTGTGGTGTGGGAGGGGTCAGCATGATGTGGGAGGGGTCAGTATGATGTGGGAGGGGTCAGTGTGGTGTGGGAGGGGTCAGTATGATGTGGGAGGGGTCAGTATGGTGTGGGAGGGGTCAGTATGATGTGGGAGGGGTCAGTGTGGTGTTTGAGGGGTCAGTCTGATATGGGAGTGACCAGTGCGGTATGGGAGAGGTTAGTGTCATGTGGGAGTGGCTAGTGTGGTATGGGAGGGGTTAGTATGATGTGGGAGGGGTCCGTGTGAAGTGGGCAGGGT